GCACCGGCGCCCAGGGCAATGTGTAGGCGCGAGGAGGACGAGGAGGAGGAGGACGAGGAGGAGACAAGGAGGAGACGAGGAGGAGGAGGAGAAAGAGGAGGAGGAGGAGGAGGAGAGGAGGAGGAGGAGGAGGTGGAGGAGGAGGAGGAGCAGGAGGAGGAGGAGGAGGAGGAGGAGGAGAAGGAGGAGGGGGAGGAGGAGGAGGAGGAGGAGGAGGAGGAGGAGGAGGAGGAGGACGATGAGGACGAGGAGGAGACGAGGAGGAGGAGGAGGATGAGGAGGACGAGGAGGAGGAGGAGGAGGAGGAGGAGGAGGACGAGGACGAGGAAGAGGAGGTGGAGGAGGAGGAGGAGGAGGAGGAGGAGGAGGAGGAGGAAGCGAGGACGAGGTCGAGGACGACGAGGACGGCGTGGACGACGATGGCAGAGGGCGCAGGGCACCGGGCCAGGGCGGGGCAGGGCTGTAGGCAGGCGTCGGAGACAAGGCGCAGCATTCCCGCAGAACATGTGGGCGCTTCAGGAAGGGCCTCGCTTGCGAGGGCTCGAGAAGTTCACATCCCTTCCTCAGCGGATGGCGGCGGAGGTAAAACAGGGGCGGCTCCGTCGGCGGAATCCAGCGGATGTAAGCATCAGCCCCCCAAGAGATGCAGCCCCCCAAGAGATGCCCATGTTTGGGGCTCAGGGCTTCCGGAGTCGGCCACACGGCCTGACCCCCCTCATCTCTGAATGCAGTGTGGTTTTCGGAGATTTCGTGTCTGGGCGTTCGATATTATTTTCGTGCTCTAACCGCCCCTCTTGTGCCCCCGTTCTATTGAAACTACCAAACTGAGCACAGGGGGTTCTACACTTTGTCTGGTTGTGTTTCTTGTCGGCCCTGATCCTTGTCCGCTTTGCCAACCTTAGAAAGGAACGGAAGGGAAAAGGGGGGCAAGGGCGGGATACGAGTAGAGAGTGGTCTAGGCAAGGAACACATGAGCATACGTGATAGGAGAAGGAGCAAGAAGCATCAACGTATAGGTGAGAGGATTGCGGGCCAGTAGGCGTAGCAACCATTCAGGGTAGCAACAGTTGGCTATGCAAACCACACTTGTTTGAGGGGGGGGGGATCAGAATAGAGGGGCCTTCCAGCCGCGGGCCGTCACGACCCTCGGCCAAGCGTTGACTGAGCCATCGCTCCGACCATCTCGATGTGCACGCCCCCCCACCCCCAAACTCAGTGTCTCTGGTTTGTCTGTACTTATTATGTGAAACCCCAGCGCCCTGCTTTCTGAGTCCGTGGTAGTGACAGCAATGGGGTCCAGGGCATGTTCGGTGTAAGGGGTTTCTGAATAGGTGTGCCTTTCTTGTGGCGGAACCTTCTGGGAATGACACGCGCGTTTGGCGCGCGCGCACGCGTGCTCAGATACACTTGGCAGCCCCAAGCTCCCCATAAACAAAACGATGGCCTCAAAAACGCAATTGTAAACGTGTCTGGTCGTGTTCCAGAGATAAGCATCGCATCCAAAACAACACAACATCCTAAACATCAGCATCGAGAAATCACTTGCGAGAGGTGTTCTAAACTGGGAGGTTTTCTTTGGGATCAGTCTGCCCTTGAGGGCTTTAGTAAGGCTCCAACGGACCCCCAGCGAGGACCCATCTGGCCATAAAGCGCACGAAGGTCTGTCGGTGTGAATGTTTGAGGCACGCCAAACCGGTGTCAAATACAATGCGCCGTCGAAAACCGTCTGTAGTCTTTTGGTTTCAAGCACTGTTTTGAGCCAATGTAATTCACACTCCTTCCAGCCTTGATGGAAGGCGATGTCGCAGATGACGCATCAGACTTGCAGAGATTGGTTTCGCTGGCGAGCCATCGGCCATCAGTGCGAAAAAGACCAGCAGCAGTGACAGACTCGCCAGCATCAGCTCCAGACATAGTCATGCCAACAGGGTCTGCTTCCAGTGTCGCTCCGCCTGGCCCCGACGATGAGGATCTTGGAACATTGGTCGCCATAGCGAGTGCAGGCCCTTCACGTAGAAAGTATCAGAAATCATCGTGGGAGGGGGCCAGGCATGCAAGAGACGAGAGAGAGAAACAAGTCGTGAGAAGAAAACTGGATCGTGCAAATGCGAGGACGTCGCACCTTGAAGATAAAATAGTTGAGGTCACTGCTGCACTCCCTGCTGTGGCAAAATTCATGGGCGTCAAGGCCGCGAGAGCGGCCGTCGACGAGACGAGGGCAAACATTCTTTGTAAGCTTGCGATGGCCCCGACGATCAAATGTGACCGAGTATTGGCAGATAGACAAAATCAGAGCGCCCACGTGTTTGCCCAAGCTGCCATGGATATACAATATGACTGCCGAGACACCGTCTTTGTCCCATTGCCTGGCTCATCTTCTGGCGATCAGTGTGCAAAAGATGTAAAAAAGATCTGCATTCTCAGTGGTGAATGGGACGAATCACGTCAACGAATCAAGCCAGCAGCTGGGCACGTGAGGCAGGGTGAATACAATACGATGAAGGCCTTGGGTTCGGAAGTCATGATGCAATCTTGGACAATGGCTGAGACGAATGGTGGTGATATCGTGAGTGTATTTCCATTTTATTGTAAAGGCGTCGTGCTCTCTGCTCAGACTGCGGACTTCATTTTGGAAGCTGTTCTGAAACGTGCCCCGTATAACTTTGAACACCCTGAAGAGTTGGGTAAGATCGCGCGTGGATCAGATTTTTGCATATTGGCCCTTTGTGTCGATCGAGCCTCAGCGAACTGGAAAGCAATTGAATGGATATGGTCGAACCAGTGCTTGCAGAATGGACTTGTACCCAACACGATCCTCCCTTGGGCTGGGCCGTGCAGTTTACATGGGTTTCAATTGGTCAAGACGGCTCCGAAACTCTCTAGCAGTATAACGAGCAGGGCCCACACGTTCACGTCGTTCACTCGGCAACAGCGCAACACAGAGGCATTAAAGACAAGTTTGATGAACGAGATCCGAAAGGTTTTCAAGGTGAAGCGGGAGTGCCGCCCGCCCGAATTCAGACGAACATCTAGAATTCTTGTTGATTTGCTGTGCAAGCCAGACCGCCCGTTGACAGAGCCACGGTCGAAATCGAGATCAAGACGGCGGCGGCACGATAACAGGATTACGAACTCATATCTGTGCGATGAATTGGTTGAGCATGTTGATATCGGCCAAGATTTGTTGGTCCATTGGTGTTATGTCTCGGAAGGTTCTGCTGAGCATGCGTCTGGAGGCGCAGTCGGCGGGCCATGCTGCACATCGTTTGAGGAGTCCCTCGACAAGGTCGCACTTCCAATCGTGAATTGGCTTGTGAACAAGGGTTGGGAGGACACGTGCGAAGGTCGCTGGACTTATCTACTCAAGGTGCTGCGAAAAATGTGCGTCGGTTTCTTTGCTGCTGACGTGTTGCCCAATGCGTTGAACTCCATGCGAACTAATTGGAAACTTGGGGATGGGCTTGAGACCGCACTGGCCAAACTTATAGCTGCAGATGAAAACGATTGGAGTGCAAAAAACAAGCTCAAGTTGTTGAGAATCACAGAAGCATTTTGCGCAGATGATTCGAAGTGGAAGGTTGCCGCCATTGCATGTAATTTGGAGAGCGTCGAACGGTGCATGTACGATGTGCTAACAGGGCACGTTTCGCTTGCAGAACTGTTGGGTGAAAAAAGCGGGCCCATTGCGAGATGTCAAGATGAATTTCTCGGACGGCTTGTAATGTTCCACCCAGACTACCACGGCTGGTGTTTGCTGAAATTCGGCCGTGGTGATTTCAGTAACGACGGTCAGGGTAGTAATGAATTGTGGCCCCTCCATCTGCGCGTCGCCTCCGTATGCAACGATCCTTTCTTACATTCGTGCGTTGGCCTCTCAACCTTGCCCTCCCTGACCTTCTCTCTCCAATCATCGTTGCTTCTTTATTTCTCTAGCCTACCCCCGAAACGTCAGGCCGCAGGTTCCGCTGTCAGGATGGCAACGTCAACCCCCCCAGCTTTCGATGCGAGGGGGCTGCCGTCTGCTGAGGGAGGGGGGGGCGCATCTGGAAGTCAAGGTAAGGAGGGGCATCGAATGGACGGGGGGCTCCAGCATACGGGGTTGCGGTAAGAGGGGGGGTCACAGTTCGTTCAGGTTTGAGGCGATGGGTCAAATCATTCGCACTTCAACTCGGGGCCTCGATGTATGACCACTTCGAAAGACGAATGGAGCATCCCCCCTACAGTCTGTTGAAACTCGCTCAGGACGACGTCACCGACCAGAGAAAGACTGAGATCGTTGAGGATTTCGAGAGTGTCCCATCCCACTGCCTGTCGTTATTCTTGTTGCGTTTGCGGGAGCACTGCCCTACGCGGGCAGCGTTGATGGGCCAGGGGGTGCAGATCCTTCGGGCTCTAGGCGTCCTGGACCACTCCATCCAGTACTCCGAGAGGTCCCACAACCAGCTTCGCAAAGAAGTAGTTTCAAGTACGTCTGCAAAGAATGTAAATTGTGCATGCAATAGGGTATTCAGCAAGCAGGTGAAAGAGGGCCACGAGGCCAACCACGGCAAGGACCCCCTGAAGGCCATCGTGATGCCTGCCTTGGAGAATAAACCACGCAAGCAAAACAGGACAGCCCCGTCTCAGGCCCCCTGGAGGAACCTGAAGCTTGAGTGTTACAAGGCCGTGCACGCGCCCGATCGCCCCCTGACGGACTCTGAGAGGGCTGATTTCGAGGACTCCTTGAGGGGGAAGTGGGAGGAGTTGTCTGATGAGGAGCGCCGCGACTGGTCCACCATCAACCGTGGCAACTATCACAAGTCTAGGGTGCAGGGGGCTCAGGACATGGCTGCGATCACCGATGATGCGCCTCCGCCTCCGTACGTTCCTCTTTGGGGCCAGCATAGTGGAGGGGTCAATGCAGAAATGCGCCGTTGTGTAGCGTGACCCCTCGCCCAAACCTACTTGCACCACCCTCGCTCCACTCCCGCTCCCACCCCGAGCTCTTGACCTCGCCCTCC